CCCTATGGCAAGATCCTCTCAAAAAAAAAAAAAAAGAAGAAGAAAATGCAGAAATTCAACATATGGAGAAATAAAAAGCAGCATTTTTAAATTAGTTGAGGTCAATACAGTTCTCTTTTAAAATAGTTTAACTAAAAAATATAGTCTAGAAAAAAATAGTTTAAATGAATCTGGTGCTCTTGTCTAATAAAAACAAGTGATAGAAAATGTCTACCATTTGACTTTATAAAGTTAGACAATATTCACCCAGTATTCTTAGGTTTGGGGGTAGATTTCAATTCATCTTTGCCCTAGCATATCTCAATGACTACAGAAAAGATCAAATGCAATGTCAAACTCAAAGCCTCCGAAGAAAAGAGTTCAGTTCCCCAGAAAACAGTGATAGCTTTACAACGTGAAATTTTACTAGAGTATATCGGCATTAAATTAGTACTGCTGAAACAATACGCTGAGGATTTACAGTAATGCCTGGAAGTTCCTTCTATTGTACATATAAATAGAATCATGGAAACTTTTCATATTACCTAATTGTTTTACTACCTTATGAATTTAATGAACCAAATGAAAACTGAATCTCCATTCTACATCCCATTCTTTATCTATAGATAAGATAAAAATCTATTCTTAATGTCAAGGTAGAGTTTTACATGTCCATATTTCTTAAGCCACATTCAAGGAAATCATGTCTTAACTAATTTCAAGTATTGTCTCTTCATCTTGTACATGAAACTCCAGCAGGTTTAATCTTGGTATTCACCATCTGGTCAAGTCCTTCCCATGTTCTTCAATCAGTCGAATTTGGGATTTGCAACATTTTCTGTGTCAATAAGATAAGGTGTGGAATTAGTAGATTTGATGAAGACCTGTTTTTTTGTTTGTTTGTTTGTTTTTGCTTTTGTTTTCCTTGCCGCACTGAGCTTCTAGATGCCATTTGGATTGGGTTTAGAAGATGGGGAAGTGTAACTATTTCTTAGCCTGAGTCTCTTAACAGTAGAGATGTAGAAGAGAAAGCGAGATCACAAGGAGACTGGCTGTTGACTGCAGGGCATTGCCAACAGCTTTGGTGGTGGCATTAGCTGGGTTTGGGGCAGCCGAGGTATTCTGGGAGAAGTCACTTGAAAGCAATATGACAGTTGTTTGATTTGAATAAATCTGAGTGCGTAGGAGCAGTGTCAGCAACAACAGCCCCAGACCCAGCCTAACCACCATCGCCCTGCCATGTTCACTCCGTTGGTGCAGGGCGTGTCTCACAGGATAGATACTGGGTGCTTTGAGAACCACTGGCTCCAGGGCAGGTACACGTGGAGGTCCAGTTAACAAATTTTAATCCTACTATTATTATTATCATCAGGGCAATATATATTATGAAGACTGAATTCATTTTTTTTAAAGATAGAGCTTGCTGTATCAGACTCTCAAGTAGCTGAGATCATAGGCCTGTGACTGACTCCTTTAGACAAGGTCTTGCTCTGGTGTCCAGGCCAGCCTGCAGCTCATGATCCTTCTGCCTCAGCCTCCCAGTAGTCGAGATTTACAGGTGTGGACTGCTGGGCCTGGCTTTCAGGTCAGGCCAGAAATCGAACCTGGGCCTCCCATATGGACTTAGCTGGCAGAACAGCATTTTCTTAACAGTGCATGCCACCATGGCTGGACCTAGATACACTTTTTTAAAAATATTTTTTGATTTAGAAATCCTTTTACATCAACAATGTAGTCAAATGGGTTATGGAGCTATCTCAGGGTAGCAGATCCAGGATGTTTTTCAAAAGATTTTTATTTATAATATTGAACTCAGGTGTCAGTTCCTGATGGCACTCCTAGGTCACAAAATTTTACAAGTAGAAAAGTTATCAAGGCTGAGACTTGAGATGAGCAAGTACATAACACAGAATTTGCTCAGCTGAAAGAATAGGCTGATAGAATCTGTCCCTAGCTGTTTCTTTATTCATTTGAGAATGTGATGGTCACATTGCATAGCCACAGAGCCACAGGTCTCAGGATGTCTTTAGGCCTGCATTTTGGCCAACTAATTTGTGATACATATGGGATAGTTCATTTCAACTGAGATAACTTGGCAAAAACGGTGTGTGGTCCATATAGGATCTTCCAGTCATAGAACTGTTTTCACTGTCATATAAGAAGCCTCTCTATATTATTTGGAAAGGCAAGTAGTCAGTTGAGTAAATTGGAAGTGGCACTGGAGAGTGTTTGTAGCCCATAAAATATCTCAGTACTTATTAAGTGTCAGGAGGATTTTTTTCTTTATATTTAAGTTGATTAAGATGATGATTAAGATGATGTATTTAAGTTGTCTGAAATACTGCGTTTCCATTTGAATAAGAGGTGAGTTATTGTTTACCAGCCTCCTACATCATTTAAGCTATTAGCAATCACAGTCAGTTCATCAGAAACAGAAGACCGCATCAGCAGAGGCCTTGTTGACATCATTCCCACGGAGATGCACCAATCGACAGCAAGTCTTTCAGCAGAAACTGGAACTCACAGTCAGCAGTTAACCTTCACATGGGCAGGGAGGTTGAACATCCTGCATAGTGCTGCCAGGAAATCCCTATTTCATACTAAGGGGGGCTGGCTGGTTGCATATGTAGGATGTCCCATCTCCCAGCCCACTTCGTCATGACAGAATCCAGAAACACTACTCTGCTTCACTGAAGAACCTTAAAATCTGCGTGTCAAGGAAACAAAGATGCTGAGCTACATAGCTAGAAAGGCTCTCTAGCTTACTGTGGTCATTAAATAGTATATTCATTCTACTCACAGTTTCATGCCTAAAGTCAAACATTTGTTCACAGATATTTATATATTAGCTGAACTTGCTGTAGAAAGTTGTTAAATCAATTAAGATACTTTGTTAACCAATAAAATGTTGGGGGGCGGGTAGGAAGAAAAGCTCTCTAGCAAATGCATTTACTAGACTGTAGAGTACTAAGTGTCGGGATCTTGTTTTATGTAAAGCAGTGAGTATGTGAATAGATCTGCAGGCTGAGAGCATTAAGCTATAGTAGCTGGCTAAAGGGTTGGAAAAGTTGCTAGCAATGCCTCTGGATCATACAGGTAATACCCCCAAAGTTGCAACTTCTATTCTCACCACCACACCAATGTGGGGGCTTGCCATTGGACTTTTTTATTTTGAAAGGTGGCCAGAGGCAGATAAATTAAAGGGACAAAGAAGCCAATTCTTACTTCTAAAAAGAAGCACAAGTTGTAACCTGAAACACAGCTTAGAATTTCAGGTCTGATAAAGTAAAATGGCAATTAAGAAAATGAGTTTCCAAGTTACATAAAAATGTTTGAGAAGGATAGTCTGGGGAAGATCCAGTAATTCTTTTTTTTTTTTTTTGAGAGGTTTTTGCTATAGGGCGTGTGCGCTCGCCAGACAGAGAGAGACAGAGAGACAGGAAGCGAGAAATCATCCTCCAGGGGGGATGGCCATGCCACAATCCCTTCTCCTCCATTCTCCTCTCGGGATCTTGGGCACGCACACACACGCGCCCGGCGTGAGTTTAAGTCACCAGGTCCGGGACTCGAACCACAGTCGACTACGTGGCAGTCCAGCGACATAGCCATTATGCTAACTGCTGGTCCCAGATCCAGTAATTCTAAATTGAGTGGAAAGTCAGTCTAATTTCAGGCAAAAATCAAGTTACAATGGGGTGGGTGTGACTTTAAGGGAAAAATTATTGGCACGTCCCTCAGAATATTTAGTAGATACAATTAATGTCGCATGCTGTATCCAGTCATATCGAGGGGACTCTGGTGTCAAAGGCAAGATAACAGGAAATATCAATGCAAAGTCTTTTTCTGAAAAACATGGGGGCAGGAATAAAATAATAAACCAAAACTCAGCCAATCGCATGGACTCTTCCACTTCTGGAATCTATAGGAAGGATTATAATTTCAGACTAAAAATAAATCATTTAAACAGAATGAATTTAGCTTTACAAGCAGTTTACCATTATACTTATTTTTCCCATTTTCACATAGACTGCTGAAATTTCTCTTGGACCTTTTTATGGGAATGAATGATCTACTGGAGATGCTATAGCAATCATTTCTGTCAGCAGCACCAACTTAATAAATAGGCTAAGACTTTAAGTTAGGAGCAATGTTAACTGGGAAATTTTCAAGAACTTTGAAGTTCTAAAAAGTATTTATTATATTTACCTGGCAGAGGAGATACCATGATCACTAAGGTATCCCAGGTTTTCCCAGGGCGAAGTTTATTCATTGCACTCCAGAAGTGCTGACCCCTTCGATTTCCCCAAATGTGGGAAACTTGACTGCATAATTTGTGGTAGTGGGGGACTACATTCACACTTTCCCCTGAAAAAGGAAACAAAAAAAGAAAAAAAAAGTATTTATTTCCTATGCGCTTAAATCTGGGTTCCACTTCAGTCAGTACCCTGGCTTTGGAACTTTTCTGTGGGTGGCAAGTGGGCCAATCCAGCCTGAGGAAAAGGCTGACTCAGGTTGAAGATTCAGAGTATCCCCATCTCTATTTTTTTCAGCAGCACTGTGTCTCCACTGGAATTCGTGCATAGTACATGGTTTTAAAATGTATGGCTTTATGTCTAAGGATTCCCCAAATTCCACGCAAATGTATGGGCCTGCCGGTGTTTATAGTAGAGTCCCTTATTCTCGTCTGTGAAGTCTACAGACTTGTCCACTCATTGATCACTGATACTGGTAATTCGTGTCTTCTCCCTTTATTTCCTGGCCAGTTTAGAGGTTTTTCAGTTCTATTGATCTGTTTAAAAACCAAACATTTCACTTAATTTTTTCTATTGTATTCTCTCAATTGTATTGATTTTTGTTTTTGTATTTATTATTTCTTTTCTTTTGGTATTTGGATTTAATTTGTCCTTCTTCATCTAGGGCTTTAATATGGAAGCTTAGATCAAGGATTTGTGATTCTTTTCTTCTCTAAAATAAATGCTAGAAATTTTCATTTTAATTTTAATTAATTTCATTAAAGTTAGAAATCTTCCTTTGAATGCTGCTTTAGTATATCACAGAAAGATTTACATGTTTCCTTTTCATTTTACTTTAGTTAAAATTATATTCTAACTTCACTTTAAGTCTTCCTCTTTGAAACATGGAATGTTTAAAAGTATGTTGTGTAATTTCCAAATATTTGGAAATTGTAAAAGTATCTTTTTGTTATTGATTTTGCTGTTAATTCTGTTATAGTCAAGGAACACAAATTTTAACATTTAAATCATTTTAATTTCTTATGGTTTCTATTGTGGTTCAGAATTTGGTCTTTCCTGGTTAATTTTCCATGAGCTCTCACAAAATATGTACAGGCATACCTCAGAAGTATTGCAGGTTTGATGCCAAACCACTGTAATAAATCAAGTATCACAGTTAAGTTAAACAAATTTGTTGGTTCCCCAGTGCATATCAAAATTATATTCATATTACATGGTAGTGTATTGAGTATGAAATAGCATTATGTCTAAAGAACCATGTATGTACCTTAATTTAAAAATATTTTCTTGCTAAAAAAAATGCTAACAGTTATCTGAACCTTCAACAAGTCAATCTTTTCACTGGTGAAAGGACTTGCCTTGATGTTGATGGCTTCTAACCAGAGTGGTGGTTGCTGAAATTGGGGCAGCCATGGCAATTTCTCAAAATAAGACAACAATGAAGTTTGATGCTGTAGCATACAATGCTATTTGATAGCATTTAATCCACAAACTTCTTTCAAAATTAAAGTCAGTCATCTCAAATCTTATTGCTGTTTTACCAACTAAACTGATCTAATATTCTGAGTCCTTTGTTGTCATTTCAAAATGGGAGATTAATGTCTTTGTACTGACTGACATGCATGGCATTCCCTTTTGAAAAAGCAATGTAATACACTGTAAAGTTATATGTAATCCAATGTAATATAAAGAAGATTATGATGATAATAAAAAAATT